GGTGGGCAACCCCACCTGAGCTACTTGGCAAGCTGAGGCAAAGACTTCACACTGGCGGATACATTAGGCAAATTAGCAAGATCCTATCTCAAAAGTACAAAGCGCTGGGGGATAGCTCTGTGGTAGAATGCTTATCTAGCATACGAGGCCCTGGGTTCAATTCCTAGTACCACCAAAACAGGTACTTGAGATTGTTACTGAGCTACAAGATAGTTCAGTGGTCTAAAGTGTCTGCTTAGGCATGTGCAAGGACCACAGTTTGATCCCTGGCACCACATACGGCACCAGCCCCGCCCCTGGGTGGAATGAGCCAGCCACAATGAATGAATGAATGAATGAATGAATGATTGAATGAATGATTGAATGACTGAATTAAAAAATAAAATATGGTTTGGGCCAGGGAGATAGCCTGGCATTTTAAGTGCCTGCCTGGCAAGGACAAGGACCCAGGTTCAATTCCAGGTACCATATGCATGCTGGCCCCAAAACCTGTGTGTGCTGTACTGTCACAGAAACCAGGCATGGTGGTGCATACCTGTAATAATCCCAGCACTTGGGAAGCTGAGACAGGAGAATTACGGGGAGTCTGAGCTGCGTAGCGACACCGTGTACCGAATGAATGCATGAATGAAGAAATTGTTATGGTTTGTGTCTAGTTGTCCCCCCAAAGCCTCATGCAGTCCTGGGGCAGACTTCTAGAGGTTGTGATTAATTCATGATCCAAACGAAAAGCTAGATTTAAATAGCTCCTAAAGGGGCCGGATATGGCTGAGTGGAATAAGCGCTTCCTTGGCAAGCGCAAGGGCCTGAGTTCAATCCCCGGTTGCACAAAAAAATAAAAATAAAAATAAATAAATAAATAACTCCTAAAGTAGAACATTCAGATAACTATAAGGATCACTACAAGTTCAAGGCTAGCCTGAGCTACATTCTGAATTCAAGTCCAGTCTAGACTACACAGTGAGACCCTGCGTCAAGAACCATGAAAAGAGAACAGAAGTCAATACTACTTGTCAGGGAAATAAAAATCACATTCACAGTGAGATGTCACTGCTCATCAGCCATAATGGCCAAAACTCAAAGGGCTGGTAACACAATATTACAAAGCCAGGAAGGATGAACATTATGTGTGCAGTCAGGATAGACTGAGGAACAACCACTCTGATTAACAGCTGCCAAAGACAGTCAAAGAAAGGAAACAATGCTTACTACCATCTACAAAATTGGCTTCTCTATACCATGAAATACTACACAGCAAAATATAGTGACTGTTCAGAGATGTGAATTAATTAAAACAATAATTTACTGACTAAAAAAAGCCTGACCCAGTTCACAAAACTAAGGGAGAATCACAGATCAGAATAAGATGAGAGGAAAAACAACAGACAGCAGGAAAGAGATACTAGAAAATCTTGTTTAAGTGAAAATACTCTTTTGATATATGCTTTATTTCAAAATTCATACAAAGCAAATCATTAAAATTCCTAAGCATTTACGTGTATTTTTTATTTTTTATTTTTTTTTTAATTTTATTTATTCATTTATTTATTTTGTGTGTGTGTGGCCAGCTCAGCCCACCAGGGGGCGGGGCTGGCTGGCATGTGGTGCTGGGGGATTGAACCGCGGTCCCTGTGCTTTGCTTGGCTTAGCTTGTTCTAAGTAGGTGCTTTAGACCACTGAGCAATCTCACCAGCCCTACGTGTATTTTTTAGACACTTTATGTTTGGCTCAAAATAAAGAGCCATTTCAAACACTACTTCATCTCTTCTTTTGTACACCGCCCACTGTTTACTAAATCCCTGTAATATGCACAACATACTAGGTTCTGGCCCTAGTATGAATTGCTAAATCATTACGGTGGTCATGTAATATGGCTGAACCCCTTAAAACAAGAGCCATCTTTTCCAAGACCACCTCCCCGCTTCTTCTCCAACTCAGTCCAGGATGAAATTCCTTTCACCCTTCCCGCCGCCTCCGGGAAGACAGACCCCCAGTCAGCCCCTCGGGTATATGTGAACACCTCCTCAAGCCCCACTCTGGCAGAAGGCCATGAAAGCCTCAGCCTCCCTGTTCCAATCGTGAGACTGCCTCATCTTCCCCACATTCTCTCCGTGTCCTCCAAGATAATAAAGTCCCTTTCCTTCTTCCTTTTGCCTGTTTCTCTGCTGTGCCAAAGCACCTGAAAAAACCTATCACTAATCAAATAAAATAGTAAAATTAATAGCGATTTCTGTGACTAACAAAACAATACACTAGAGGGGCTGGAGAGATGGCTCAGTGGTCTAAAGCACCTACTTGGAACAAGCTTGGCAAAGCACAGGGACCGCGGTTCAATCCTCCAGCACCACATGCCAGCCAGCCGCGCCCCCTGGTGAGCTGAGCTGGCCACACATGCACACACACACACACACACACACACACACACATAAATTTTTTTTAAAAAAGACAGATATAGCCTCTTTACTTCTTCAGAATTCTCTACTCCTTCTAAGAGTTGGGGAAAAAAATCATGTGTACAGGGTTTGAAATCAGCCTAAACATCATAATGCATTAGCAGTAGAAGGCTGCCTTACCAATAATATATGAAAATACCCATGAGAAAGTAAATTATTCTTTTATGGTAACAAAATTATTATGTTTATAGAGCACATAGTGCACAATCCTCCAGGTTAAACAGTGATAGGTTCCAGCCTAGTACAAACGGCTAAATTATCAAGGCCCTGATTCAACGGGCTGAATCCCCAAGCAGCTTATCTTCTCGATCACCACCTCCTTCTTCCCTACTCCAGCACTGCATACAACTTCCTTTTACCTTTCCTATGCACACAAGGGAGCTCCTCGGGGCCACTGAACCTGCCCCTCGAGCTCCCACCCCAGCCAAAGTCCGTAAAATCTCAGCCTTCCTCCCTCACTCTTTCAAGTGAGAGGATCTTCCCTCTGCCTGCCCTTGATCCTCCTCTCCAAGTGTCTTCAGAATAAAGTCTCACTCACACACACGCACCCTGCTTTATTTCTGCTTCTCTGCTGCACCACCCCTGCTGCAAAAAACACTAATGAGTAGTATTACTGGCTACGTGCTGGTGCCTTGTTTGCTTGTGTAGTGCACGGTGTAAAGCCCAGGGCCTCTCAGGCACCATATGAACTTGTTACAGAAAGGTGAAGAAGCAATTCCTCTACCAGGTAAGGTCATGCATGCCTGGAATACTACCACTCAGAATGCTGAGACAAGAGGACCACTGCAGATTCAAACACAGCCTGGCCTACAAAGTGAGTTCAAACCCAGCCTGCTGCTGGTAATGGTGGCAAATGCCTGTAACCCCAGCATTTGGAAGGCTGAGGCAAGAGGATCACTGATCTTTGAGGCCAGCCTGGGCTAAAAATTGAATTCAGGGTCAGCCTGGACTGCACAGTGAATCTCAAAAAAAGAGAAAGGAAGAGGAAAGAAAAGGGAAGGGATTTCCTATTCAGGCATGGTGGTACATGTCTGTAATCCCAGCACACTGGGAGGCTGAAGCAGAATGATCAGAAGTTCAAGCCCACCCTGGGCAGCTCAAGAATGAGTCTCAAAATGAAACTACTTTTGAGACCAGGTGCAGTGGTGCTCTCCTATAATCTCAGTGCTGGGGAGGCTGAAAACAGGAGGATCATTGTGAGTCTGGGATATGTAGTGAGACCCCATACCAAATACATAATAAATAAATACATCTTTTTAAGACCAGGGACACAGCTCAGTGTGAAGCCCAGGGGGATACTGAGACAGAAGGACCACAAAAATGCTGGCGTGGACTGACTACACATCAAGACTGTCTCAAAAATATCAATGATGAGTTCAATCCCTGGCACCACCACCAAAAAAAAAAAAAAAAAGAAAAAGAAACAACTGAACTGAACCAAACCCAGGTCCAGAGAAGCTCTGTATGGTACAGGCATATAGAAACTGTCATCTTTGTGGGCCATCTACATGCGTGCATGTGTGCATGCGTGTGTGTGTGTGTGTGTGTATATGTACATATTTCCTTTTCTGCATATTTTAACCCTGCCCCAAGGAGGGGTAGCATGTATCCACCAGCACTTGGCACACTGTGGAGAACTACACATTCAAGCCCAGTCTGGGCAACACAGCAGTGAGGGGGTGGTGTGTAGGCACACTAAAAAGTTTTGCTAAAAAAACATACATGCAGATTATACTTCATTTATCTGTTGCAGTTCTTTGACAAAGACCACAGGAACTTAACAGCACCAGTTGGCAGGTAGAAAGAAGGCTCTAAACGTGAAGAAAGCCTCAGCCTCCAGCTGCTCAGGGCTGAGGCCCCCGCTGTGAACTGTTGTAATTTTCTTAACTTGTTAATGGTTGCTCTTTCAAAAACACTGAGTGAGTTCCAAAAGCAACTCTACAAGAATTACCTCATTCTTTGATGAAACCCAAGAGAAGTTTCTGGCCCAGCATTTACATTCCAACAGATATGGCTGTAACAACTATTAAACTTTAAACACAAACTTTTAATCTATGTATGCTTTCCATAATTAGAAACCAAAATAGTTGAATTTTGAATGAAGATAAATGGAAAGAACAGTTTTTACAAAGTCTTGCTCCTTATAAGATTCCCGTAACACCTCTTATTTTACAAAATGATGTAGGCAACCAAGCTGGGGAGCACAACCTGTAAACTAAAATCAAAATCTCTTAATGTTCTACAATTTCTTTACTTCATATGATGCTGTGATTTCAGCTAATAATGCTGAAACAGCAAACTGACAGTAGTGGCTTCAAGTCACAATCTGCCCACTGCCCGTTCTCAAAACCCTTGCTTAACAGCACATTTTTTTCTATTCTTCAAACTGAAGAAAAAAAAAAAAAGATTGAATCATATCCATTTACTTCTGAAAAGCAACCATCTTACAAAGAAATGTTAGAATAAGTAGTTCTTTTAGAAATCTTTACAAAGCCTAAGAGACAAGTTTTCCTAAACCCTTTCCAGACAAGCCCCTCGCTCACGTACCTTGAAAGGCTTGTCTCCACTGTGCGTCAGCATGTGCCTCTGCAACCAACTCTGGCTGGTGGAGGGAGTGTTATATACTTTACAGCCTTTCCATAAGCAAACAAACACCTGTGAAAAGAAGAGCCATCATTTCCATCATTCATCTTCAACTCCTTGTAAGTTAAAATAAATATGCTCTAAGTCTTCAACTAACATGTAATGTGCATATGCAGCAAAGTGTTTTAACATATTCAACTCTCTGAACTTTCCTGGATGAGGTACATTGTTTCTTATTTTGGGGGGACAGGGTCTTGTTGTGTAGTGCAGGCTGTCCTCAAACTCCAGCAATATTCTTCCCTCAGGCAAGTGCTAGCATCACAGTCACGCCTGGCAATGAGGAGTTTAACTCTACTCTCCAAGGCTACTGCCCAAGCTCCCTGAATAAGGCGCTGAAGCAGCAGTCACAGGCCATTCAGAATACATAAAATGTTGACACTGCATCTCTAGGAACTAGAACAACAGGCCAAAGTTTACGTTTTTCATTTATGACATGAGGAAATCGGCGGCAACTAATTGTAAATATCAATAAAATATGAAGGCATAAAGAAACAATAAAAATGTAAAATGGTCACCACCACCCCACCCACTGCAAATCGGGCTGCCCTGTGCAGACAAGAGCAGGTCATGGCCAGGTGGTGACACGGAGACTTGGTTTAATGATGCACAGCTCCAGTTTACTCTGTGGAGCTACCTTACCTGGCATGTGATTTTTTCTTTACTGTAGAGCAACAAATTCACATATATGTGTCTTAGATCCTGAGAAAGTCTACTGTGTACTATGTGAACCCCATCAGTATCTGTTTAGTAATCTTTTTCATACTCTCAGTCTTATGAAGGTGTAGACATGCAGGATAATACTTTTTTTACTCTTCGCTCTTACTGCTTCTTTTTTCTTAATTTTATTTTAGGGAGGGGTCTACAGGGTGTTCAGGGTCTCACTACTACATCAGATTCATAGTGATCTGCCTCTTTACAGCACCCCAAGAGCTGAACTTACAGGCGCATGCCACCACACCCAGTCTCAACTGCCCCAGGAGAAGCGGCAGCAAGGCAGGCGCTTTAATCCACTGAGCTATTTGGCCAGACCTCTTATTGCTTTTGAGACAGGGTCTCACTATGTTACACAGGCTGGCCTTAAACCTGCATCAACCTTGCCACCTGAGTGTTAGGATTATAGGCGTGCATCACCATGCCTGGCAAGTATAACTGTGGAAACAACTAACAATAACACTCTTTATTAGTGAGACCATCAACTTCCCAACTGATGAGATGGCCCTCAAACTTAACACTGAAAACTGCTTCCCAACCACTGCAACCATACCTCAAAAGAAATACTTCTAGGCCATTTTTTTTTTGCTATGGTAAGAACCACTATAGACAAGACTCATGTTATCTGTAGAATGAGTATTACAGAGTACTCTGTACTACATACAGAGCCCATCGAAGATACACTCAAATTGAAGAAACAGATTTTAAAGCCTGCAGAGTAGTTAAAGAGTCTTTGCCTATTACTTTTGATGTCCTGAGTTCAAACCCCAGCATGACAGAAAGAGGGGGGAAAAATGTATCTTAAAACATTCCAGTCTGAAATAAAAATTTTAAGACTATGGGGGAAAAAATCCTATGAATGAATGGCAGATGTCAATTTTTACCTAAAAACAAAAATATTTCATTAAGGTCTAGGCAAGGCTCCTACTGTCATTTGACAACTGTTCAGTTGTGTTACTACAATACTTAAAACTAAATCTAGGAAAAGAAAAAGGTATTATACAGTGTTGATTAATTCAATAGTCTGATAACCACATGTAGGTGACGAATACTATAAACCTAACAATTTCTTGATTCAAAAAATACTTGATTCAGTTACCTTTAAATTTTCAATTCAAGTAATAAACACAAAGTAGCCAAGTAGGAATTGGTTTAAAATTCTCACAAGTCATCCACATAAAAGAAAGGCCTTAAGCATTTGGAGACAGTACTGCACATCATTTTTGCAACAATGAAGAATTCTACTACTGAACCTCTTCAGTGATGGCTGTTCTCATTACTTTCAAACCAGAAAGAAAAACGGTGCTCTGTTTTATACTTATAAAAAAGTGTAAGTGGGAGGGCTGAACCCAAGGCCAGTCAGGAGTACAGTAGACACTGTCAGTGGAGAGGACAGGAGGGGGAAAGGAGACAGGGAGGAAAGAAGGGGAAGACAGGGAAGGCAACTGAAGAGAAGGGGGGCCAGCAAGATAGCGGGGGGCCAGCAAGATAGCTCGGCAGACTAAAGTGCCCATCACCACATACCATGCCCGCAGGTCGGGCTGAGCCGCCACAGTCCAGGAGTAGTGGTGTACTCCTGTAATCCCAGCTCTGGGGAAGCTGAAAGCAAGAGGACCACCATGAATCTGAGCTGTGTAGCAAGACCCTGTCACAACCAAATACATGTAAAAAGAGAGAGAGAAGAGAAGGAAGACACAGAGAAGGAGTAACTTACTGCTTCCTGAAGACATTGCCTCAGTTTAACATACCCTACACTGGGAAGGAACAACAATCTCCGCCTCATCATTCCCTCCTAGGAGCAAAGATGACTACAGCGGTTGGTAATAGCTGGCCCTCTAAGGTCATCAGACCCAGACTTCATCAGTGAGCAGATACAGTCCAGACTCTAGATGAAATAATGTCTAGAAACACTAGTAAAGCAGTATCTTCAATCAAGTGGAAACCTTTAACCATTTTTACAGAAAATAAAGTTAAGTATGAAAAGATCAAATTTTACTATGTTTAGTTACAATGTAGGTGAAATATATGGGGGAGAAGGGTGCTAAGTTTCCACAAGAATAGTCCAAAAAAAAGTATACAAAAAAGGAACACTCACTAAAACCCTTCCTAATCTGAAACAGAAATATCTTTTGATAAAAAGACCAAAATCCAACAAAAGGACTTGGATCAAACCCGAGATTCTAGAAAAGGAAGGGCAGGGTACTGCTATGGAATGGAGTCCAGGCTAAGCTGGAACCCATGATCCTCTGGCCTCAACCTCACAAATACTGGGATTACAGGGGGTACCATCATGCAAGGGTGTCACCTTGAACTTTTTAGATGCAGAAAAAAACTTTTATATTCTGTATTTAAAAAACATTCCATGGCTGGTCAAAGAGCTTAGCGGACTAAAGCGCCTGCTTAGGCAGGCTCAGCAACTAGGGTTCGATCCCAGGCATGCCATGCCGGCCCCACCCCTGGGACACGGTGAGACAGTGATTGAGACTGGGCATGATGGACTGGGGTTCATTCCTCGGTACCACATGCCACTCTGGCAGCTGCCCTTGGACACAGTGAGCCCAGTCCCAGTATGGTGGAGAACACCTATAATCCCATTGGTTGGGAGGCTGAAAACAGGAGGATCATTACAAGTCTGATCTGTGTAGTAAGACCCTGTAGACCCTGTACTAAATACCAAAACAACAAAAACTGTAAAAAAATTTCCATTGTAAAAATTAACCTGAATATATAACGTATCAGGAGCAGAGCAACACCGCACTGATTTTTCACAGTGTCTGTTAAACTTAAATTAACCTAAAAACCAAATACCACAGGGTTCAGGTTCAATCAAAACCTGTGGAAGGAATGGAGCTCAACAATATAATCTGGGCCAGAGGGATAACTTGGCAGTCACTTGCCTGGAAGTGGTTCAATACCTGGTACCACATGCCATGTGGGCCACCGAAACCAGGCATGATAGCTACATGCCTGTAATCCCTGCACTGGAGAGGCCAAGACAGTAGATTATGAGCTGCACAGTGAGACCCTGTCCAAATAAATAAGTAAATAAACAAACGAATGAATGAATGATTAAAAAACGCCAGTAATCCCAGCACACATGCCTGTGATCCTAGAGCTGGGGAGGCTTAGGCAGGAGGATCAATGCAAGTTTGAGACCAGCCTGAGACACAAGGAACCCAAGGCCAGTTTGAACTGCATACTAAGACCCTGTCTTAAAAAAGACACACAAAAATCTAAAAAAAAAAAAAAAGAAGAGGGTCCGGGGAGATGGCTTAGTAGAACAAGTGCTTCCCTGGCAATCGCAAGAGCCTGAGTTCAATTCCAGGTTCCGCAAAAAAAGAAAATATGTCATGCTTTACACATTTAAAATCAATTAAGGTCTGGTTATTTTAGTTAGACTATTAAGAAGCAAAGGTCCGGCCGGGGAGATGGCTCAGTGAAATAACCGCTTTGCTGGCAAGTACAAGGGCCTGAGTTCAATCCCCGGTTCCGCAAAAAAAAAAAAAAAAAAAAAAAGAAGCAAAGGTCCATGGCTGAGTCTCTTCATGATGCAAAGAGGTAGGTTACATAAGGGTAACAAAAAGAAAATTACTTCAATTGTATTAGTTCTCTCATTTCACAGATATTCAATCTTGGAAGAACAATTTCTATTTCCCTTTCATCAAAAAAATGCTGACTACCTACCTGTTTACTCCAAAAACACACCAGAAATGTAAGGTAATAAGCTCTCCCAGAAAAACTAATCAACAGTAAAAGTGGCTTTATATTAAGCACTGGAGGTTACATCTCAAAAAGACTACATCAGAGTTTTCTCCCATACTACCCACAAAAACAACAAAAATAAACCCCACACAACCACCAGAAGAGTATTTCTGAACTATCAAAATATCTTAGGCTGTACTCTAAGCTGAGCTGCAGATGCGGGGTCTGGTGTCCTGCTGAGCATACTAGGAAACAGCCAAGAAGCACTGGGCCAGCGGCACCAGCAAGCATCTCTAGCACATGCACACACGAGGAAGAAGGCTGCTTACAAATCTGGGATCCACCCCGCCTACTGCCCAGCATCTCTGAGAAACGTTAAGCGCACTGCCAATTCCTCTAAACCTGCGGAAGCATGTACCTAAATATGCCTGCTGCTCACAGAAACACAGGCCCCAGTCCATCAAGGTGGCCATCACATTTTTCTGTAAAAAACCAAAAATACATTCCAAAAAGATACAAAATAACCTTAGAAAAATCTAAGTACCTTTACTGAAATTCTTCCATTTCAAATGCACAACAGATAAACATTAATTTACATG